GATGTTTAGCTAGACTGATGAAGAAAATAAAAGAGAAGACTCAAATTACTAACATCAAAAATGAAAGTGAGTACATTACCACTTTTAGAAATGAAAGTGGGGATTATAAGAGAATATTATGTGCAGTTGTACACCAACCAATAGGTAACCTAGATGAAATGGATAAATTCCTAGAAACAAACTACCAAAACTGACTCAAGAAGAAAAAGAAAATTTGAAGAGACCTATAATAAATAAAGAGATCGAATCAGTAATCAAAAAACCTCTCAACACAGAAAAACCCAGGACTAGATGGCTTCCGTGTTGGATTCTACTTAACATTTAAAGAAGAATTAACATGAATCCTTCTCAGACTTGTCCAAATGATAGAAAAGGAGAGACCACTTCCTGACTCATTCTGTGAGGTCAGCATTACCCCCCAATACCAAAGCCAGATAAAGACATCACAACTTTTTTTTTCTTACAGCAGGTATTTTTTTTCCTTGATCCAGGATCCAGTCAAGGATCATGCATTGCATTTAATTGTCATTTTGTGGTTAGCGTCTTTTAATCTGAAACAGCTTTTTCTCCCCCATTTTGAATTTATGTTTTATAACATAGACAGTTTTGAAGAGTCCAGGTCAGTCACTCTGTAGAATGTCTCAGAATATGGATTTGTATGATTTTTTCTTATTATTAGATTCAAGTTAAACATTTTTGGCACGGATACTGTTGTTAGGTGCTGCCAAATCGATTCTGATTTATAGTGACCCTACGTACAACAGAGTGAAGTGCTGCCCAGTCCTGCGGTATCCTCATAATCACTGCTGTGTTTGACCCCATTGTTACAGCTACTGTGTCAATCCGTATTGTTGAGGGTCTTCCTCTTTTCCACTGACCCTCTACTTTACCAAGCATGATGTCCTTCTCCATGGACTGATCGCTCCTGATAACGTATCCAAAGTTCGTGAGATGAAGTCTCGCTGTCCTTGCTTCTAGGGAGCATTCTGGCTGTACTTCTTCCAAGACAGATTTGTTTGTTCTTCTGGCAGTATATTCAGTATTCTTTGCCAACACTACAATCCAAATACATCAATTCTTCAGTTTTCCTTATTGATTGTCCAGCTTTCACATGCGTATGAGGCAGTGGAAAATACCATGGCTTGGGTCAGGCGCACCTTAGTCCTCAAAGTGACATCTTTGCTTTTGAACACTTTGAAGAGGTCTTTTGCAGCAGGTTTGCCCAATGCAGTGCATCGTTTGGTTTGTTGACTGCTGCTTCCATGGGTGTTGATTGTGGATCCAAGTAAAATAAAATCCTTAACAACTTCAATATTTTCTCCATTTATCATGATGTTTCTTATTGGTCTAGTTGTGAGGATTTTTGTTTTTTTTTTTATGTTGAGGTGTAATCCATACTGAAAGTATAGTCTGTCTTCATCAGTAAGTGCTTCAAGTCCCCTTCACTTGCAGCAAGCAAGGTTGTGTCACCTGCACATCACAGGTTGTTAATGAGTCTTCTTCCAATCCCATTGCCGTATTCTACATCTTAGAGTCCAGCTTCTTGGATTATTTGCTCAACATACAGATTGAATAAGTGTGGTGAAGGGATACAACCCTGATGCACACTTTTCCTGATTTTAAACCACTCAGTATCCCCTTGTTCTTTCCAAAGGACTGTCTCTTGGTCTATGTACATGTTCTGCATGAGCGCAATTGTTCTAGAATTCCCGTTCTTCGCAATATCCATAATTTGTTATGATCCACACAGTCAAATGCTTTTGTGTAGTCAGTAAAACACAGGTAAACATCTTTCTGTTATTCTCTGCTTTCAGCCAGGATCCATCTGACAAGGTACTGCACAAGTGATATTCCTTCCCATTGCATCACATCAGGAGGTTCATAGTGTCAGTTTGTCCCATTATTGGTGATGCCAGCCAAGTTTGATCATTGGTTAAGGTGGTAGGTAATCTGTGTTGTTAGGTGCTGTTGAATTGGTTCCAACTCATAGTGACCATATGTATAACAGAATGAAACGTTGACCAATCCTGTACCATCCTCACAGTTGTTGCTGTGTTTGAGCCCATTGTTGCAACCACTGTGTTGGTCCATCTTGTTGAAGGTCTTCCTCTTTTTCACTGACCCTCTGCTTTACCAAGCATGTTTTCCTTCTCCAGGGACTGGTCCCTCCTGATAACGTGTCCAAAGTTCGTGAGATGAAGTCTCGCTGTCTTTGCTTCTAAGGAGCATTCTGGCTGTACTTCTTCCAAGACAGATTTATTTGTTCTTCTGGCAGCTCATGGTGTATTCAATGTTCTTTGCCATCACCATAATTCAGCCTGTCCACCACTTGTCTGTCAGTTTGCTGTACTGTGATGGCTTGTGTGTTGCTGTGATGCTGAAAGCTATGCAACCAGTATTTCAGATATCAGCAGAGTCATCCATGGTGAACAGGTTTCATTAGAGCTTCCAGACTAAGACAGTCTAGGAAGAAAGACCTGGTGATCTACTTCCTTTCTTTATTTTTAATTTTTAATTGTACTTTAGGTGAAGATTTACAGAGCATATTAATTTCTCATGAAACAATTAATATACATATCGTTTTGTGACATTGGTTGCCAACCCCATGACGTGTCAACACTCTCCCCTTCTTGACCTTGGGTTCCTCATTTCCATTTGTCCAGCTTTCCTGTCCCCTCCTGCTTCTCGTCCTTGCTCCTGGGGTGATGTACCCATTTAGTCTCATATACATGGTTAAGCTATGTGTATTATTGTTTATTTTATGGGCCTGTCTGATCTTTGGCTGAAGGGTGAACCTCAGGAGTGACTTCACTACTGAGTTAAAAGGGTTTCTGGGACCCGTACTCTCAGGGTTTCTCCAGTCTCTGTTAGACCAGTGAGTCTGGTCTTCTTTTGTGAGTTTGAATTTTGTTCTAAATTTTTCTCCAGCTCTGTTTGGGACCCTCTGTTGTGATCCCTGTCAGAGTAGTCAGTGGTGGTAGCCGGGCACCATCTTGTTGTGCTGGACTCAGTTTGGTGGAGGCTCTGCTAGTTGTGGTCCATTAGTCGTTTGGACTAATCTTTCCCTTGTGCTTTTGGTTTTCTTGATTCTCCCTCGCTCCAGACAGGGTGGGACCAGTAGACGTATCTTAGATGGCCACTAACAAGCTTTTAAGACCCCAGATGCTACTCACCAAAGTAGGATGTAGAACATTTTCCTTATAAACTATGTTATGCCAATTGAACTAGATGTCCCCTGAGACCATGGTCCCCAGCCCTCAGCCTAGTAACTTGGTCCCTGCAGGAATTTGGATATGTCTGTGAAGCTTCTTTGACTTTGCCTTGGTCAAGTTGTGACGGCTTCCCCAGTATTGTGTACTATCTTACTCTTCACCTGGTGATCTACTTATTCTTTTTCCCCCCAATTTTTATTTTATTTTTTATTGTGCTTTAGGTGAAAGTTTACAGCTTAAGTTAATTGCTCATACAAAAATTTATACACGTATTGTTATGTGACTCTAGTTGCAATCCCCAGGATGTGACAACACACTCCCCCTTTCCACCCTAGGTTTCCCGTGTCCATTCAACCAGCTCCCATCCCTTTCTGCCTTCTCATCCCGCCTCTAGACAGGAGCTGCCCATTTAGTCTCGTGTATCTGCTTGAACTAAGAAGCACACTCTTCACAAGTATTATTTATGTTTTATACTCCAGTCTAGTCTTTGTCTGAAGAGTTGGCTGCAGGAATGGTTTTAGTTCTGGGTTAACAGAGAGTCTGGGGGTCATGTCTTCTGGGGTTCCTCTAGTCTCAGTCAGACCATTAAGTCTGGTCTTTTTATGTGAATTTGAGTTCTGCACTCTACTTTTCTCCTGCTCTGTCAGGGACTCTCTGTTGTGTTCACTGTCAGCACATTTGTTGGTAGTAGCCGGGTACCATCTAGTGCTTCTGATCTCAGGCTGATGGAGTCTCTGGATTATGTGGCCCTTTTGTCTCTTGGGCTAATATTTTCTTTGTGTCTTTGGTGTTCTTCATTCTCATTTGCTCCAGGTGGGTTGGTGATCTACTTCTAAAAAAAAAATAAGCCAGTAAAAACCTTATGGACAGCAGGTAATCTATAGAATGATATATTCAGACTGTATCCACTTACCCCTTTACACTTTTTACTTGCCGTTCCTTACCTGAATCAGTTATTATGTTGATGGTTGCAAAATGGTGATTTTCTAATTCTTTCATTCCTAATGTGTGGCTGACAATCTTCTCTATTGCTAAGCTTCCCCAACCCCTGCCATTTTCTGAGTATTGCTGTTAATATTGTTGTTAGTTGCTGTTGAGTCAGCTCCGACTCATGGCATCTCCATGTGTGCAGAGTAGAACTGTGCTCCGTAGGGTTTTCAAGGCTATGACTTTTCAGAAGCTGGTCACCAGACCTGTTTTCTGAGATGCTCTGGGAGGGTTCGAACGGCCAACTTTTATTCTTTTTATGATTCATTGAATGTGTTATCTGTTACCATCATCATTCTTTTTGATATTCAAATTTTCTCAAATTTGGCCAGTCAAACTCCTTCAGGTCCTTATGACCTGCCCCATTGGTGTTTGAACACTTCTTTGCTCTTTGTTACCCAAAATTCCAGGCTCACCTTGCACTTTTCCCCAACCCTGCAGTCAGCTCTTTCTCTAAGGAGTTCTACTTCCTTTTAGTGAGAAATGGTATATTAAAAAAAAAAGTTTATCGATACTGGAGAGTCATAGCTTGTAGGCATTTTCAGTGAACAGATTTGGGAAATATTCATCCATTCATCCATCCATCCATCCATCCATCATGAATTCATACTCATATTTTAGTGTTATTTTAAAAATTAAATATTGACAAATTTGAAGCTTTGTTCTATAGAAGAAAATGAGGACACCACTTCTTTTAGGTCTGTAAAAATAGTTGTTCGTGGTAAATAATTTAGCTTTTCTTGGTGAATCAAGTGTACATCTTGGTTATTTAATGAGCCCTTATCTCTGCTATTCTTGTAGTTTTAGGGCAGTGTCGTGACAGCATTGAGCCAAAAAAGCTGCCAGTCACTGAAGAGGAACAGATTTACCCTTGGGATACATGTGCAGCAGTTCATGATGTGAGGCTTTCATTATTACAGCGGTATTTTAAAGATGTAAGTGCCTTCTTATTGAATAATATTTCTCTCTGCAAAATTGATGGTTATTTCCTCCAAATAGAGTTTTATGTATTTTTCTTCTCCCAAAATGTCATTCTGATTTGAACTTGGTAAGTTTTTTAGAACAAAAACCAACATGTAGATGGAAAAACAATTGAAATCTGTTAATAAATAAAAATTTCAAGTAATTGTAATATCTTTGTTTTAAAAGCTTTTTAAATTTTTTTTATTTTGAGGTATATGAATTCAATTCAATGGAATGGTAAGCATTAGCTCTGTAAAAACTATTAGATATGGTATGAATATTATGAAGTTTTTGCTTCCTTTTACTTTCTTTTAAAGGTATGTAACAATATTTCATTATGATGCTTTTAGAACGTTAAGTAGGAACAAATTTGATTCACATCTTCTGTGTGTCCTTGTTGTGAACTTTGTGGGTTTTTTTCCAGCCCTTTGCACTTAGGGACTCTAGCACTCAAAGGTGTCTCAAGGCTTAGAAGATAAACTTTATTTATTCAGTAGCGGCAGTAGTGTTTTCTTCTTTGTACAATTTCTGAACCACTTGTGTATCAAGTGAGGTTTTCTTTAACCTGTTACTGATTCTTGTGTTGACTGTTTCTTGGATTAAGTAAACATGATAGATAATAGCTTAAAATATTGAAAATACTTAAAATATAAAGTAAAGCATTATTTTAAGTTAGCTATATGAGATGATTGTCTGGATAGATTTCCAAATAGAACTTCCTTCTTGTTCATAATCTACTAGTTTAAATGGAATAAATTAGAAGGATAGGTAGAAGAGAGGATACTTAATGGTTGGAAACAATAAATGACTCAATGAAGATAAGAGTCAGAGTCTGGTTTCATAATGTCTGGTTTGAGGAGTGGATTCTGGAGAGGCTGATGGCTTTAGTTAGGGAGCTATCATATAGAGTAGAAAGGGTCCTTGACCAGAAAAACTAGGGTTTGATCCCAGTTTTTCCATTTTTCAGCAATGTGAGCTTGGCCAAACCTCTTAAAACACTCTAGGGCTTAATTTCCTTGTCTATAAAATAGGGTTTATAATGGTCTTCCATATGGTAACCCACTAGATTCTGAAAAGGAGGTGAATTTCCTTTAGATCATTTTGCACATAATAAAGGTCAACATAAATGTAAAATGGGGTTTTTGATATTCCATCTAGCTCATTTAGAAGGGCTCAGGTTAGGCCTTAAAATACATTTAGGGATAGGTAACGAGGACCGTGCTTCCATATATTTTCCAGAGGCTTTAAGATGAAATTATGATTTTTTGTAAAAAGCAGCTTATGTGTGTGTATATGCGGGTATATATACAGATACACACACACATACTTTATGTCTTCTTGCTTGTTTTAATTTTTTTATAGGATATATATATTACTTTATTAATCAGAGAGGCCAGTTAATTTTTTATTTTGAAGAAAATGATGAAATTATGCTAAGTTCTGCTTTTTCAGAAAATTTGCTGCCACTTTTAGATTTTATTTCCTTTCCATAATCTTGGTTTCAGTTTTATCATTTTGGAGTCACCTTAGAGTGAATGGGTTAAGAATTCCAAAACCAAATTAGAAAAGAAAAATAATTTGATTGCTTCAGGGTATAACCCAGACCTAAGAGCATCATAATTTTGAAGGAGGAGGAGATCTAAGAAAGGAGAGAAAAGGTAGGATATCTCTTTCTTGCAGCCAGAATAGTTATTCATCTCTAGAAAAGAGTCTTTAAAGGCTCTGAAGTGAAACTTGGATCTCTATTGTGTTTTGTTAGCAATTATGAGTAATGATGTATCCCTGTATCATTACTTCTACGTAACGTCATACAGGTTACTTTCTGTATATATGGTTTTTTCTGTGGATTGGGTACCTGTGGAAGTCTATTGAGATTTCTGGTTTTGGTTTTACATCCCCTCGGGGGCTAGCACATGCTTTGTGTGTCGTAGATGCTCAATGAAGTTCTTACTGAATTACTGTAGTACAGAGTACCAGGGTTTTTGTAGCCAGAACAGACTGTGTAGAGCAGAATAGTGATTACCAGTGGGTATTGATACTGATTATAGAACTAAACTGTGTAGATTCTGCTCCCTTCAGATCAAATGCGTGCATTTTACGCAATGATGTGTAGAATTTTAGTCATGTAAGACAGTACATTTACTGTAGAAACTAGAACTGTTTTACATGGGAAAGAGAGAAAAGTAGTAAAGGGAAGGAGCCTAGGTTTGGGAGTCAGATTTAAGTTTCAACTTGGACTCTACCACTTAAAGTTAAGTGACCTTGAAAAACTTTTCTTTCTTCTGTAAAAAGGGATAACACCACCTACTTATAAGGTTTTAATAACCGAAGAGGTTGTGTAGATTAAATGTGAAGTGCTTAGCATAGTGGAGTGTAAATAGTTGAAGCTCCCAAAATGTTAGTCTTTTATTACTAGATTTTTTCCTGCATTGTTTTGATTCTGCAAAGGCTCAAATAAGACATCTAACAGTAAATTAAAATTATATAGACAAATAACTTACTATTTGCAGTTTGAAAAGCTAACTGCTTTTATTAAAAAGTAAGATTAATTACATTTTTATAATACAGTGTTAAAGAGAGCAGCTTGTTTATTAACTGACTACCAACCATTCGAAAATGATCTAATACCAAAATCTGCTTCTACTTCAAGCAGCTCCAAAACATAAAACAGAGATGAGCAGGCCTCTTGTTGTTTTTCTGATTTGTAACAGTAGAAGCCTGTTCACCTGCTATGAGTATTTGATTTGTGCTGCTGTATATCTTTCAGTCAGCTGGGAAGGCGTTTTGTATTGTATAATAGTTTTCAACCTTTGTATAATCATGAAGAGTCTTAGTTTAATATTGGAACTTTGTTTACTATCATTTGAAGATTATTTGGTCATCTTACATTATAATGTATAAATTTTTTTCCAGCCTAAATAAAATTTAAAGGCTGATAATGTAAAATATGACCTTTAGCTAATAATAATGTATCAGTATTGGTCCATCATTTGTAACACGTATCACAGGAATGCAAGGCGTTAATAGGAGAAATAATCTGCAGGGGAGGGGATATATGGGAACTCTACTTTCTGTACAAATTTTCTGTAAACCTAAAACTGCTCTAAAAAATAAAGTCTATTAAAAAATCTAAAGGTTAACTTAGTTTTTTAAGCTTGTCAGAACATATAAATCTGATGGCTCTCAAATCTTTCATTATCTGCTGTCACTCATGTTAGACCTGATGTCACACCCTGACCTAGCCATCAACTTACTACAGATCCTAGAGGGTGAACTCAAGTTCAGGTTCTAATGCTGTTTCACAGAGGCCAAATGATGAAAATTCAAAGGAAGTATTTTAAGAGCAAAAATCTTAAGCCTCTTTATAGGTTAAAGGAAAGAATTAGCAGAGAAGAAGTTAGAGGTGTGTAGAGAAAGAGTAGATGAAAGCAATTAACTTTTAAAACAAATACAAAAAGATATGTAGTTTGCTCGTATAATCTGGGTCCCTTTTTTATTTTATGTTAAACCTTTGTAAATATTAAGACGTGTTTTTGGGTTATTCCTGTGATCGTATTTGCACTTTAAAATGATGTGTGGAGATGCATCATGGAGAGAAGAAATTGGAGTCAAGGAGGCCAGTTAAGAAATTGCTTAAGCCCCTCCTCCTCCCCCCCAAAATGATGAAGACTTGAATGTTACAGTGGGAATGGAGAGGCCAAAACCGTGAGTTATTTAGGAGCTAGAATCAGTATGGTTTGGGAACTAATATTGTGGTGTGATGTAGAATGACTCTGGTTTCCAACTTGGTGACTAAATGGATTGCAGAGTTTTTAAAAAAACAAGAGAAAGAGAAAGGTTCATGAAGTAAATGACAAGTTAAGATTTTTGATGCATATATTTTATGTTACATGAAGGGCATCAAACTGAAAATTTATAGTTGGCAGTTGAATATTTGTATCTAACACTCAGGCAAAAGACCTAGGCTTGCGAGGTAGTTGAAATCACTGGGAGGATAGTTATAGTGAGAAGAGACCAGCACTACGAATAGAACCTTGAGGAATATAAACATTGAAGGGGCAAGTGAAGAAATAAGAGTCTTGAAAGAAGGCTTAGGAAAAACATTTAAATAGGTAGGAGCAACACCAAGAGATGGTAGTATTATGGAAGACAGAGAGAAGTAAGAATTTCAAGAAGTTAATTAATTCAAGAAGTTGTTAATGTGAAATGTCACAGAAAGATTAAGTACTGTATTATTGTTGTTGTTGTTGTGACCCTATATGACAGAGTAGAGCTGTCCCATAGTGTTTCCTAGGCTGTGATCTTTACAGGAGCAGATCGCCGGGTCATTTCTTCTGTGGAGCCGCTGGTGGATTCGAACTGCCTACTTTTCAGTTAGCAGCGAGCCCTTAACTATTGCACCACAAGGCCTCCTTTAAGTACTGTATAACCAAACCCAAATCCACTGCTGCTGAGTTAATTCTAACTCATAGCAACCCTACAGGACAGAGTAGAACTGCCCCATAGAGTTTCCAAGGCTTAAATCTTTACAGAAGCAGACTAGCATGTCTTTCTCCTATGGATTGGCTGGTAGATTCGAACTGCTGACCTTCTGGTTGACAGTTGAGCGCTTAATCACTGCACCAGCAGGGCTCCTATTAAGTACTGTATAAAAAAACCAAAAACCAAACCCGTTGCCACTGAGTCAATTCCACCTCATAGCGACCCTATAGGACAGAGTAGAACTGCCCCATAGAGTTTCCAAGGAGCGCTTGGTGGATTCGAACTGTCCATCTTTTGGTTAGCAGCCGTAGCTCTTAACCACTATGCCACCAGGGTTTCCAAGTACTGTATAGAACAGGTAAAATAACCAAGAGCCCTATAGTTTACACTGAAACATAGTATAATATCAAGAGCTTATATTTTATGGGGTGGTAGAAAGATTAATTCATAATATTTATTCTTTTTCATTATGAGCATAGATATTTAGGAGCTGAAGCTTTATGGTGTTACAATGTAAAAGATACTACCTTAGGGCTGTCTAGTTGATGGTTTCTTTATATCACGAAAATACAAGGTCCATATTAGTATAACTATGAAATCACACAGAAGTATATGTGAATATATTTAAATATATTTGAACTTATTTAAAATTTATTTTGTCTGTCTGTTTGTTTTTTAAGAGTTCCTGTCTCTTGGCAGTATCAGTTGGTTGGGAAGGAGGTGTTTATGTACAAACCTGTGGCCACACTTTACATATAGATTGTCATAAATCTTACATGGAATCATTACGGGTAAGTTGATTAGAAAAATTTTTTAAAGGTTTATGTATTTATCCAGATATTAAATCCTTTTTGCAGTTTATATACTCCAACTCCAGCTCATCATCTTGGGTGATTTTGATGGCCGTTTGAACTGTTCTGCTAATAACAGCCTCACAGTTCCTTGACCGCTTCAGGGATTTTCTTTTTTTTTTTTTTACTTCAGTTTAGCAACTTACTTCCATAACTGCAATTTAGACTTGGTCTTCATTATTCTGTTCTACTCTATCTCTGAAATACCAAGCTTTAACATCTGTCTTAGTTATCTAGTGCTGCTATAACAGAAATACCACAAGTGGATGGCTTTAACAAAGAGAAGTTTATTCTCTCACAGTCTAGGAGGCTAGAAGTCCAAATTCAGCTCCAGAGAAAGACTTTCTCTGTCAGCTCCTGGGGAAGGTCCTTGTCATCAGTATTCCCCTGGACTAGGAGCTTCTCAGCGCAGGGACCCCGGATCCGAAGGATGCTCTGTGCTCCCAACATTGCTTTTTTGGTGGCGTGAGGTCCCCATGTGTCTCTGCTCGCTTCTCTCTTTTATATATCGAAAGAGATTGACTTGAGACACAAGCTAATTTTGTAGATTGAGTCCTGCCTCATTAACATAACTTCCTCTAATCCTGCCTCATTAACATAATAGAAGCAGGATTTACAACACATAGGATAATCACAGCAGATGACAAAATGGTGGATAATCACACAATACTGGGAATCATTGCTTAGCCAAGTTGACAGATACTTTTGGGGGATACAATTCAATCCATAACAACGTCCTACTGTATCATCTCATTATATGATTATCATTAGTGTCTCTTGCATCTGACTTCATTGAAATCTCTGGTTCCCTGCCCCTTTACATTTTTCATAGTGCATTAGCTCTTTCCTAGCCTCACTTTATTCTTCTACACTCATTCTTCTATTATCAGTCATTTAGTCTGCTTCCTTTGATCTTGGATTCAGGCATCTAACCCTGCTAGAGAAAATCATACAACTATGTGAACTGGTGCCACCACAAATTAATGGTTTCTAATACAGTGGCTTAGATGAAAGTCATGGGCTGTAAATTCATTTACCTGTTTTAGATCACTGTTCTCTTTTCCCCTTAGCAGCTATTCTAAACCTTTGGCCCCTCTTTACCTAAACCCCCAAATCCCTTTTCTCTCACCAGATTCTGTCTCTTCCTGCATAACTGAGAAAACAGTGGTTTTCTGTTACACATTCCATTAGTTTCCTAACTTGTTTTTCTATTCCTTGGTAAATGACTGCATTCCTACCAATCCTTTCTTCTTCTTCTCTTTGAGGAAATATTCTTTCTTCTGTTCAGGGATATTTTTTCTGTCTGTGCTCTAGTGTTCTTTTCTCCTTAACACTACAGGGACCTGATCCATCAATAATTAACTTCTTTTTCTTATGTATCTTCAGTTTTTCTGACTCTTCTGTCCCTTCTTCTCAACTCATAAAGATGCTAAAGTTTCCCATTTAAAATTCCTTTCCTTGACCCTGCATTCATTTTAGCTTCAGTCTTCTCTTTCTCCATCCATTCTTAGCTCAGCTTCTTAAAAGCATGATCTACTATATTCCCAGGTTCCTAACTCGGAAGCAGAGGAGGTCGCTTTTTTCTTTCTATTCTTCACCTTTCACATTCAGTAATTTACCAAATTCTGTTGATTCTGCCTTCTGTGTCTCCTATAGGTGACATTCTGTATTCACTAGTCCCGCTGCTACTTTTTTGTGTATGCCTTCTTCTCTCACCTTGATTATTATGGTTGCTCTCTTATTGATCTCCTTGCTTCAAGTCTAAGTCATTTACTACACCGATCTTTCTAAACTGTAAATCTGATGACGTATGTCTTTGGCTTAAAAATTCTATACTGGCTTCCAAACTCCTTACATGGACCACAAGATACTTTATAAATCTGATAGAACTATATCCCAATAGGATAAAGTTCACTCTTCTCTGAGTGACATTCAGGGCACTCCATGAAATGGAATTACCTGTTCTCTAGCTTTATCTTCCATCAATTCAGCAATAATAACCTAATTAATAGTTCCTTAAGCACATTATACATTTTTCATATCTCTGCATTCAGTCATTCATTCAACAAGTATTTATTCAGTGCCTACATCGGGGATACGAGAATGAATAAAACACAGTTACTTTCCTTAAGGAGCTTACTGTGTATTCGGTGAGACAAAGAAATAAATAGTTACAGTATATGTGCTAAGTGTTAGGTGTGTGCAGGATCTTATGGGAACATCTACCAGGTGCCAGAACATTTGATAAGATAATGTACTTGAATGATAAGTGTTGAGACTGGAGAAGTAATTAAGGGTCAGATTGTAAAGTGTCTTGTGGTCCCTGTAAGGAATTTGAACTTTATACAGATCCTTACAGAAAGCCATTAAAACCATTAAAGGCTCTTAAAAAGAGATAGAACATGTCCAGAAAGATTATTGTGGCGTGAATTGTGGTTATGAAGAGAGGAGATTGCAGGGGAGTAAGACAGAGTGCAGTGATACCACTTAGGAGGTAAGACATAGTGATGGCTTAAGGTCATGGCAGTGGAGATGGAGAGGGAGTTATGGATTTGAGATATATTTAGGAGGAGGGTCTTCTGCACTTGGTGAGAAATTGCATGTGAAACATAAGGCAAAGTGAAAGTTGATTATGATCATCGAGTCTCATATTAAGTAGATCATGTTGTGAGCAGTACGGTTGGAGGATGACTTAGGTCTCCCTAAGGAGGGCTTAACAAAGGGTGTAGAAGGAAGAAAGTGAATGGGAAAAAGAACTTACAGGATTTATTAATTAGGTATTGGGGTAGGAGGAGGAGGCAGGAAGCTGAAGGAGCTGCCATGACTTTCTTCCCCTGAGATAGGAGGTGTAGCCTTATGCTACTAGAATAAAGAGGGCAAGAGATGTGGTTGGTGGAGGCATTTGACAAGTATGAAGATGGTTTGGAAGAACCTCTTTGGAAGTGGGTAAGAGAACATTTCCAAGGTCTTGCAGAAAGATTGCCAGGCAGTATTCAGGGCTCAGCTGGTGTTGAAAACAATTTGTAGTAAAAGGTTATTTGATTTTTCTCTAATAACACTCAGTTTGAGTGCAGAATTGGAGAAGGCATACAATTTTGTTTGAAGGTTTTGTTAGGTATGTATGACAGAAGGACATATGGAAAAGTAATGGGGAGTGTTGAGGAGAGTTTTTGAAGTGAATGATCATGGAGTATAGGCAGGATAGGAAAAGCTTTTTAAAGTGGGGGAAAAATGAGGGACTAAAGGACAGGAGTTGGTGGTTGAATGTAAGACGTTTGAATTTAATATTTCTAGATGTGGAACAGTTTTGGGTGATTACAGGATAAAGGTCTAGTCACGGTAGTAGGTACTGGAGAAGAGTGGGGATCAAAGCCACAGAAGCTGACGAAGTTAAGGAGCTGAGGGACTAAGATATTAGATTGGTCATCCACATAGACACTGAAGTTGCAGGACTTGAAGTGGTGAGGAAAACTGATCTAGATCCCAAAGTCTTCTGTGATTGTGGGCAGTGAGTGACATTGAAAAGGAAGGAAAAAAAAAAAAATGATGTGGTACCATTAAATAACATGAGCCACAAAGACAAGAGAATGCAAGAGTGATGATCTTAAGGTAGCACTGGAGACTGAGGGGGATGCTGAAGTGTGAGAGATTTGGGAGAACGACACCTTTTGTGAAGGTGTCAGGAAAGAACCTAATTTCAGTTAAGGCAAAGAAGAGGACCTAGCATTCTTTGAAATTAAGGCTTTAGGGAGGTTTGTTTATCACAGGATGTTTGTCTATGTCCAGGACCCCTGCCCCAACCTTTTGTAAACTCTTCTCCTGTATCTTTAAAACTTAGCTCACAAGTCTTACTCTGGGAAGCTTTCTCTGTTGAATTTATATAGTATGTTATAATTTATTTGTTTCTGTTTGCTTTTAAATTGTGAGTACCATAAGAAGAAAAGATGTGTCTTAACTCTACTCCAGCACCTGGCACAGCATCTGGTACATAGTAGAAATTTAGTAAATGTTTGTAGAATTGAATTTAAAAGAACATAGTGTTACATTTTTAAGGACTTGGGAAAAATAAATGTCAAAAAGTAAAAAATAGAATTAAGTTTTTAGTTAAACTACTTGAGATGCAAGATATAGTGGAATGAGCACCAAATACAAGAGTTAGGAAATGTAAGTTCGTCTTGGCATTGGCAGTAATGACCTTTGTGACCATAGGCAGCTAAATTCATTTTCTTCTCTTTTGAGTCTTTTGTTTTCCTCATTATTTTTGTCTGTTTGGTAATAATGATCATATTATAGCATTCGTACATATTGCGTTAATACGTTAAAAACATGTTTTGAGATGAGTTAATTTAGTGGCAGAATAAGAGAGACTGCTGGGAAAAGAGTAACATGGTGGTTAGAACTAGACAGTAACAATGGCCTGAGAGAGGAAAATAGATGTAGGGTAGTGTCAGGCAAAAGAGAGGAACAAGGGCTGCAGCCTGAATTCCTGTGTTAAGTCCTCTGATTAGCATATATTAGTTAGCATGTATTACAGTCTCTCATGAGCAAGAGCTTCTAGGCGTATGTGCATTGTGTCTCTAATTTAAAAATTCTACTTTTTCTCCTCTTACTACTAGAAACATCTGAAAGAAAGGACGCTAAATTAATTCCTCTCTTCTCACACTTATGTTCTGAGTACTCCAATACTCTGAGTATTCTACCTAAATCTTTCCCACACCCACCCAATATACTGCGTAAAGTCCACCTGGTTGTGCTAAACAGTTAACTTTACAAGATGCCATCACATTTTTTAGGCTTAATTTACTCTCAAAAGCTATCTATCCTAGATCAAACAACATGGACACTGGGAGAATCTTCCCAGTAGTCACTTACAATTTGTGAAAACAGGGAAGTGGGGTGAGAGGACAGTGACCCACTTTGATGTGGCCTGCTTGTTGAAGTATTCTTTATCTTAAATCCACATTTCAGATTGATTGTATCATTATTTGAATATTTCATACTGAGAGAAAAGTGAGATACTTAAGTAGTTCATTGGTGAAGGCAAGTGTTACATGATTACTATGATGTAAGAAGTAATTTGGTAAGCATGGTCAACAGTTAAATGAGAGATTTTGTTTATTTCTTATGACATATTTTAGAGATGTCTTTTTTTTTAATGGTTCATTAATTTACTATGAAATGTGATGGCATAATTTTTGTTTTCTGTAAATATGTACATCATACATCTATATGTTTATTTCATCTTTTAGAATGACCAGGTTCTTCAGGGCTTCTCAGTGGACAAAGGAGAATTCACGTGTCCTCTCTGTAGGCAGTTTGCTAACAGTGTTCTTCCCTGTTATCCTGGAAGCAGTGTGGAAAATAACCTTTGGCAACGTCCTAGTAACAGAAGCATGCAAGATCTCATAAAGGAAGTGGAGGAGCTGCAGGGACGGCCGGGAGTTTTCACAGTAAGCATCAGTGTCAGGCAGATATATCCTGGTTAACTCAGCCCTACTTTTTAGCGTTCATTTCTATTCAATTTCTAAATGACTCTGGACCTTTACTGATGTGGTAGAAATTGCTTTTAGAGGTTTTTCTCTTCTGTTGTGGTTATCAAAAACAAAAATGAGAGTAATAGAACAAATTACTACCAAAGGCTATACTTTGTCTAAATTGTTAGTTTTAACATACATCTTCCAGATCATGAAAACTTGTAAGCCTTAGTATAGTTAGACTCTCTTCAAGTGTTGAAATATTTAAAAACAAAGCAAAACAAATAAACCGCAATCCTGGTACATTATTATTTCTTGCGGTATAAAACACAGTCTAATCATTTGCCCATTAGGAATATTAGGATTAAGATTGTATGTAGGTGTGTGTATGTGTGTGTATATAGTAGAGAGATATATTGTATAATTGACTGAACTATTACCTAAGTCAGTCTACTGTGGCATTTGAAATAAGTGAACCTATTTTTTATCCCATCCAGCAGGATTTATTTATTTGATTTAAATTCTTAAAATATTTCATCTTCATTATAGATTTAGAATATGGTCCCTGAGAGAAGCAACGGCTGTGCCTGATTTATGCAGTATTTGACTTTTGAAACAGAAAGTCGTAGTTTAAATCTCCTTAGAAAGATTGGTCTCCTGGCAGTTCCCTTTTCCAAGTGAAGACTAATTTTAAAATCTGTGATTTTCGTTTTCCTTTTGTAGATCCAAATTTTTATGTATTTAAGATATGTTTAGAGTAAGAGAAATTGGTATTTCCTTTAAAAGATAAACTTAAATGAAAGTCAGATTTTTTTATAAACTTGGAAACTTTGTTATAAAAGATTGTTTTAATGACATCCACTCACTGGCTTAGTTTGTATGGTTAATTAATGGTTGGATTATAATGTTATCAACCACAATATAAAATTACGATAAAAGATCACTAAAGTAAAAGAAAATTATTTTTTATTAGTTTTATCTTTGTGTATGAAATCTATGTGTAACGAGCCGATAGCTGTGTTATATCTGTTTTGACTTTTGAACTTTAATTTCTTAGTGTGTTCATATGATAAACATTCAAATATTAGACTATTAGAAAAAAATGAATATAAATAAACTTTATTTGTATGTCTGCATTTTTTATAGTCAGAAACCAACTTAAGTAAAGAAATGGAATCTGTAATGAAAGATATCAAAAATACCACTCAGAAGAAATATAGAGACTATAGCAAGACCCCAAGCTCACCAGATAATGATTTTCTCTTTATGTACTCTGTTGCTAGGTAGGTATATATCGTATATACTTTCGTATTCGCTTATTATTGTTGGTTTTGTTGTTTAATGAATCTTTGTTTTATTCATCATCATTTATTTTAAAGAATGAATATTTTTAATGTTGGTTGAAATTATTATGGCTAGTTTTAGGACCTCCGGTAGGACTATAAATGTGTAGGTTTTCTTTATTTCCTGAAGAGTTTTTATTTTAATGAAATATTTTATGAATGTTATTAAGCATTATAGCATATGTAGGGAAAAGTATATTAACATTTTGGGACAGATAGCTCCCTCATGGCTTGTGTGTATTATATATGAATGATGTTGTTCAAGTCCTGTCAAAAAGTGGTAAAACTGAAAACTAAAACATTGTCATATGTGAAAAAGTTTTATTTATGGGAAAATAGGGACAAAAGTAGAAGAACTTATTTGTTTGTTTTAACCTATTGAAAGATCTTGTACTATCCTAGACTATAGGTGGTTTAGAAAATCAGATAAAAGTAGAGGAAGCTAGAGATCAACCATGTTCTAAGACTGTATTATTAGTAGCTAGCAGGAGGCTCAAGAAAGCAGTCGTACATCAATGCATCTTATCTTTCAGATTAGGAAGGATTACCCTGTTAGACTAAGTAGGTGTTCAATACCTAAGGAATAGTTCCAAGTAGGAATTTTAGAGAACTTAATTGAATAAAAACGGAGAACTGTAAAAAAAGTAAATAGGGAAGAAGCAGACACAATTATGGACTTGTAAACTCATTCTACCAAAACTGATATTGTAGATCCCTGATTATCTCTGGAAGCATACGTCATGTTTTGTCCAAGTAGTAGTGCAATAGGTAAGATTTCGAGAGATAATGTGACTTGACGTCATTTGCCAAATTATTGGCAGAGTAGGACTAAAACTCAGATCTCTTGAGTTGAGGTTTAGTGTTATTTCAATTGCTGTCCTTTTTCCTCTCCTGTGTTCAGCTTTTATAGATAGTATATCCATGTAGTTCATCATGGCCATTCTCTCTGCCCAATGCCTGAAGCAGAGAGTAACAAAAGAGTAAATGAACTGTATGTTGCCTTTGGAACCTAGGAAAATTGGAGCCAAACTTGGAAAAATTGGCAGCAAACAAATGATAGCTCATGATAAAGAAACAGTAGTCTTTTGTCTGAGAATGCAAATGCGGTATAGGGATGTGTGTAAAAGGATCTAATGAATTGGGAAGTAATTTTCTAGTTTTTGCATATTCCTAGATTATTGTTGGAGCCCTGGTTGCGAAGTGGTTAAGAGCTCAGGCTGCTAACCAAAAGGCGGCAGTTCAAATCCACCAGCTGCTCCTTGGAAACCCTATGGGACAGTTCTGCTCTGTCCTATAGGGTTGCTATGAGTTGGAATCGACTCAGTGGCACACAGCAGTAACAGATTATTGTTGTTGTTTATCCAGAATACTTTGAGGAAGATATAACAGTTAATTTAATATTTTGTTTCTGGAGAGTTACCAATTATTGCATACTTTCAGTAAACTATGTGTGAAAACTAAACAGTATAATTTAATCTTGCTGACGTTTCAGATTTTTGCAAAACTTCTGTACAATATTGTAGTTATAAAGTTATAGGAGATTGAGATGAATATAGACCAGTTCAGTTATGCTTTTTAATATGTATACATTTATGTCATCAGCTCATAAATTTATGACTTCTGATTCTTATTACGTTTGGCTTTATAAGAAAATCCTGATTGGATGGAAATGATCTGCATATGAAATTTTACTATATTGTGGTAAATCAAATACTTTGATATAAATTTAGTTTAGTGAATTTTTAGATCCCTGTTTCTTGGTTTAAATATATAACTTACATCTAGAATAAAGCTTGCAGTGGTGGTGGGAGACTTTTTGGATCAACACATTTTGATTTTTGTATTTTATAGAGACGTAGGGACGGATGTCAGATGCTTTACTAAGAACATAGGTAGAAAAACAGAAAAGATGCTTTACACCCCATCCTTCTCTGATCCCCAATGGCAAACTCTAAAATTGCAAAATCGTGATTTAGAAAATGAAAGTATATAATCCTTAAAAAACTGTATTATCTTTTGGCTGGAATTACCCAGGCCATTTCAAAATTCTCACAATGAGGTTGCATGTCTTCTCTAAATTTTACTTAGTCATTAAAGACAAAATAACAAAAATACAGATGGACTTAAAAATTAACAAAAACATGAAGAAAAAAGTATGTTTTATCTTATTTTGAACAGGATGTAATTTTCTCAAGGTAGGAAACCAGGTCTTTATACTTATTTTATACCTAACATATAACCCTATTTCGTTAATATTTATGATTAACAGAAATATTTATTCCTAAAAAGTAGATATTAAAATATTTAGCAATATTTAAATAAAATATTTAGCAGTAAACTTATTTTGAATTATTTAACTTTTGAATTAAAATGCATAAATATGGTGATTTTTAAATGCATGTTGCAAATTCATTTGTATTTGGCATTAGTAATTTGAATGGAATACAACCTAGTTCTTCAGAGTTGAATTTCTCCTAGCTGAATAAGTAATTTTACTTGTTTGTTCTTCATTAGTGAACTTTAATTTTTTGATGTTTAGAAACAAAATATTTCTAATCGGTAACTAGCTGGTAAAGTTATTTCCTTTAATTGTTTCAGAGCTCATTTTTTTGGTAGGACAGTAAACATCTGTTTATTTTATTTGTATGATGAAGGCTTTGAGGATTTTCTGAGGGTAACAGGAGAAACTGTTGGAATGTTACCTTTTTGTTTGCATTAAAATTAACAAAACAAAATCACTATATGCAGGCTTTAATGTGTTTCCAGAAAACATTCTATTGCAAATATCAATCATTCAAATGGGTAATGGGAAGTTAATATTGGAGAAGAAAGATTTCTTCAGTTAAATACCAATTTATTTATTTCATTATTGAGACAATTAATGACACGAATTTCAGTAGTTGATTTTTCCATAGACTTTTGGACTCAAGTTACATAGAGCCTGGAGGTATTATGAGTAGTACTTGGCCTATATATATAGTGAGAAACATGGAAATGAAAGAAGATGAAACATGAATAACTGAGGTATAGATGGAGAGACATCTTTAAATCATTACTGGGTAAACTGCTCAGTAGAGTGAATGTACCTTGCCTTATACATTAGTTGCATTATTGTAAGTCTAGATTTTCAAATTATGTTGGAAATAAAAGCAATACTTGCTAAAATATCAAATTATGAATCCTTTTTAAAAGTAAAAAAAAAAATTCTTTTTGAAAACAAGTAATCCTCTTTTTTTGTCCACTGCTGGGTTGAAGGCAATAGAAGAATCAGCAAAAGAAAGAGAATAAACTGCAGAGACTAAAGAGAATCTTAGTATTGGCTACATATCAAAACAAAGAGATTATCAAGTCCTCAGAATTTTTTGAGCACTTTGCTAGGTACCATGGGGAATTTAGAAACTATAACTGAAATACTCTCTGGGGATTTGCAGTTTAGTTGGAGAGACAAAACTAAAATACATCTATCTATATAAAACAATGTAATTTGCTTCTTAAAAAATGTCATGTAGAAAAGAGAAGATAAACAAATTGAAATAGGAAGTATGTGGAAGTGCTTTTTTCCTGTTCCAGGAAGTCTTGGAAGAGTTAGAACTTAAGCTGAGTCTTGTATGATGCAGGCTGTGGTTTGGATGATGAATTTTTTTTCTCTGAGAAGAATTGGGTAACTAGCTCAGGGCCCAGGCCTTGAGCCCAGATGTTTATGTAAAGTCCTTGTTCTTTCCACTATACTGTTATGTTTGTGTGCGTGTATTAGTTCAAATTATAGCTCTAAAAATAGAAGTTGATGCCAAATGAGGATAGAAGGGAGGAGCAGACTTTGGTCATGCAAAAAAAAAACCGTTGGAGAAGTTTTTATGTGGATGTGTTAGTGGCCTTCATGATTGTTGTTGTTAGCCACCATCGGATTTTCCCTGACTCGTGGGGACCCTGTGCACAGGATAGGCCTTTATTGTTAAAAGGGAAACAGTCTTTCTCATCATTCTTTCAAAATGTTGACATTTTCTTCCTTTTTTTTTCTTCCAAACGTATTTGAATATATTTGTGTTAGAAAATTTGTTCTTTACTTGAGTAGGTATCAAGTTAAAGGTTCAATTTGATGTAAACAAAATAAGGTTGACGGTTAGGGTCTCGAAAATTGATTTTTAAAATCCTAGGTGTTGTTATATGGCATTAACACTTTGGATAGGTAGTTTTCTGTTCTTTAATTGAGAAGGAATGTTGTGCAGGAGATCTTCTCGCCATGATCTGAAATAATTAACTAGATGTACTGTTTTTTTCCCCCAAGTATTCCTTAAAATCAAATTCTTGGTAAAATGTTTGTCATTTCTTGAAGTACTTTATTTTGTGGTTGAGTTAATGAAATTGTTATTGTATTAATATTTTAATGAATATTTTTGCAAATTGTGGTGAAATAAAAGTTGACATTCTGGTTCAGACATTCATTTGTAAGAATTGTTCGTGTTTCTGGTTAGCTCATTTAAAAGTACTACCTAGGAAATTTTAGTTTTCATAAGAGAATATAGCCATTAATTTTTTTCTACAGATTAGGCAACAGAAGATTTGTGAAAACAAAATATATTGATCTCATTTATATTCCCTTGATGAAGGAACACATGCTGGTCTCCGCTCGCTTTCTGTCCACTAATATGAAATCCTTGTCCCTGCTTCCTTGCTGGTAGGTTTTTAGAAGTTCAGTGAGCAATGCAAATTGACTGAAGGGTGGAAAATTCCCTTGTCACACAGATGCCCTTATCAGCAGTAACCAGATGGAGCTCTGAGCAGGAACGTTATCAATTTTAAATTGCTTTTTTTCCCCTGACTAGAGAGGATTAAAGCATTCTTTTAAAAATAGGTGGCAAATGCTACAGATGTGGGAATGTTAATATTTTTAATAGTTTGTGTTTATAAATAAATATGTGAAAATATATTTTCAAAATATAACCAAAAACTGTTCAAAATGTTCTGTTTTAAATAAAACAGGTTAATATTTTTTCTTGAATTCAGTTGCAAAGAGTAAACTTGAAATTTGCTGTATTTTAAAGGAGGGGTATCATCTCACTCTTTGTGTTCAATGCATGTCTTGAGTATAAACTAGTTAATTCAATTTTTTTAAAAAAAATATTGTACTGTGTTTTCAGTGAAAGTTTACACAGCAGATTAGGTTCCCATTTGACAGTTTCTGCACAAACTGTTCAGTAGTTTATTCAGTTTTAGTTGTAAAAAATGATGGTGTGTTTAGGTTTATTAATACTGTTTAAGTAAAAATACACACAATTTAAATTATCACTCAAAATTTTTATTCATTATTCTGGTATAATTAATTGGCTATCTTACTATTAACTTTTTGAGTAAATCTTTAGACTTTGCATTTGATTTTTGAAATGTCAGTTTACTAATTATTGCGATCGTGTAAGCTAATGATTGCTAAATATGTTGTAAATTTAGATCATATAAACAATACTGATGTTTAGCCATGTCAATAGTTGTAGTGTATTTTAATAAAACTAATTTTAGAAGTCCATAAAAGAAACTGCATTTAATTATGTGTGTTGTTTATAGCCACTTTGGTAATAGTGATTTTGTTTCTTAATACTAATTTCAAGTTACCATCAAAGCTCCAGTGAGTGATACAATTTTCTTATAGAAAAATTGCTGTGCCTTTCTGTTTTATATGACAGTAACTATCCACCCAGTGGCTGACAGTTGGAGTACCAATTCTTTCACCATATTCATATTGAAGGTTTTGAAATATGTTGTAGTTTTTTTTCTTAAGGCCTAGTTTTTAATATTTGCTATCAGCTGGGACATTGCAATAATTACACGGTGATGTGTGCAATTTTTTGCAGGTACAAGTATGAACATATAAGTGAGGATGGCTAAACTGCTCCCCTTTTTATTTCTAAATATCACATAAAATATGATTATTACTGATATTGTGTAAACTGTGCTTTTGCAAATAATGAAGTTAAAGAAATCTATTATTTAGGTCAATTCAAGCATGTCAGCAAAAATTAAAAAGCACTGATTCAGCTTAATGACTGAAATACATTCTAATGCTTTACTTACAGAACCAATTTGGAACTTGAATTAATTCATCGAGGAGGCAATTTATGTTCAGGTGGTGCAAGCACAGCTGGCAAAAGGTCTTGTTTAAGTAAGTGCTAAATTCTGTTTTATTTCTAATTGTGTCATTTTGAAAGCACGTACAGGCAAAGTCGTCTTTTAGTGTATTCTCAAATTCTTTTTATCTTATATATGATCAATTTTAATAGTGTTATATACTTTAAATGGTTAATCTTGTGTTTAGAAGAGTCACATGAATATTTAGCACTATTTATACTATGATTGGAGCCCTGGTGGCACAGTAGTTAAACATTCGGCTGCTAACCAAAAGCTCGGCAGTTCGAATCCATCAGCTGCTCCTTGGAAACCCTGTCAGGCGGTTCTACTCTCTCCTGTAGGGTCTCTGTGAGTCAGAATCTACTCGACGGCAGCGGGTTTGGCTTTTTGAAATAGCTAATTATTGGCTCCAAATCATGGGAGTTGAAATATTACCTAGTGGGAAATATTACCTATATTACTTATTATGGGAAATAAAACTTGTTTAAAATACATAATTATTCTTTTGTAATATGAACATATACCCTTAAAATACTAAAAATAATAATTATTTAAAAATATCAATACATTTTGGTTTTATAACAAAATATATATATTATTATTTTGTTGTTGTTGCTGTCAAGTCACTTCTGACTCATGACAACCTCATGTGTGCAGAGTAGAACTGCTCCATAGGATTTTCAAGGCTGTGACCTTTCAGAAGCAGATTGCCAGGCATGTCTTCTGAGGCGCCTCTGAATTGATTTGAACCACCAATCTTTTGGCTAGTAGTTTGCACCACCCCGCTGCCCTATATTATTTTTAAAAGGTATATATATGTAATTTTGGGTTGATCTCAAGATTGTGTAGAACGTAAAGACACAAACTTATATGAAATTCCAACTGAATTATGTTTAAAAGTCGTAATAGTTGTATTAAATTTTAATATTTTATTTTGGAATGTTACTTGATTTCCTAGCAGTTTAAGGTTTTAGAAGTCACTTTTTACTGAGGATTTAGTGTTTACTCATCCCTTGATGTATGCCTCTAATCCCTGTTTATACCCAGTGATTTAGTGGTCTGTTTTAAAGGGGAAGTTGTTGATACATAGGAGTTTTAAATTCTAGTCTGTTTAAATCATTAGATATTATAATTTCAGTTATATAAAATATTCTTTCTTAATTTTTTTCTTAATTGCTATTTTGTGTCAACTGATAGTGTTTCAGAAATTGTTATATTAGGGGGTACCTAGAGTTAGCCACTGAGGAGCCTTGGTGGTGCAATGGTTAAAGTGCTTGGCTGCTAACTGAAAGGTTGGTGGTTTGAACCCACCAACCACTCTGAGAGAAAGATGTGGCAGTCTGCTTCGATAAAGATTTATAGCTTTGGAAACCCTATGGGGCAGTCTACTCTGTCCCGTAGGGTCTCTATGATTGGGATCGACTCAATGGCAATGGGTTTTTTTGGATTAGAGTTAGCCAGACTGCAAGGTCTGAGAGCACAGTCTTAAAGACTGCCCTCACTTCTGACACCAACTTCAAGTTTGGGGGTTTCTCAAAACTGCCCTCAGATTGAATAATTTGCTAAAAGGACTCACAGAACTCACTGAGAGCTGTTATACTTATGGTTATGGTTTATTATTTAATGAATTAAAAATCTGGGATTCCAGATACAAAACTTCCATTGTCCCCAGCATGTGTTACTCTCTTAGAATTGATGTGTGACAATATGCACCAAGTGTTGCCAACCAGGGAAGCTCACTTGAGTTTTTATTAGAACTTCATTGCACAGGCATGATTGATTGATTGCCCACATGGTTGAATTCAGTTCCCAGCCCTCTCCCTCCTCTGGAGGTCAAGATGGTATCACATAGCTCACCATGAATACAAAGACACCCCTATCACTCCAGATATTCCAAGGACTTATAGATTACTTCCCAGGGACTGGGGACAAAGCCCACATCTCTCTTTGGGCAAAGACCAAATTCTTTACTACACAGAAGTATATAGTAAATGGATTTCAGTTTTTTGTTTAAAAAAATCCACTTCTTTTGTTTCACTGAGGTACTTAAATTTATCCAGAGACTTGTAAATGATGGATCTATCCAGAATCTTAAGCATATTAATAAAATTCTACTGGAAACCACTTCAACTGTTAGCCCTACCCCAACTCCCATTAGTGGAGTAGAGAGTACAGAAAAGGTTCAACCTGAGTATAAATTAATACTGTTTTTTTCATGTGATTTATTGTTGTTCAATTATTTAGTATTTACACTAATATTTAGAAAAACAGCTCTGTAATTCATGGATATAGAATATACTGTATCCCGTATAAAATCCTAGTATGTTGCACGTGTATAAACTTAACGTTTATTATTTTCTCAGGCTATAAGCAATGTGTGAAACCTAACATAAGTTGAAATCTATGACTTAAATTGAATGATATTTCATTGAATCTCAGATCAGATATCTTTTTTTTTTCTTTTTTTTTTTTTAATCTTCCAATGAAACTTTAATGGTTATTATTAAACAAAAATTTGGCCTTTTCTCTAGGGAATCCCCATAGTATTTCCTTTTTTCATTCATCTCTCTCCATCACCTTTTAAATTTCTTGTTTTTAAAATGTCTCCCCCGCCCCCATAATATCTTTGGGGAAAGAGAGTGAGAAAATGCATAAAGATAAGGGAAATTTTATTTACTCATTCTAAGAACACCACATTTTTGGAATACTGTTCCATCATAACTTCTGGGAGAAGTTGAGGATTAGCTAATCAGGAAAACATTTAATAAATTTAGTCTGGGCAGGACTGAGTAATGCCAGATATATAATTATGGACACACACACAGAAAGAAAAGGTTTTTGTTTCTACAAAAACAGAAGCAGAAAATATTACTGCCCAAATTTATACTAAGAAATCAAATAAGATTGAAATAGAACAATGCTATTTGACATCTACATCTTCAAACAAGTTTTTCAAGCATTGAGGTAAGGTTACTAGATCCCAATCAAAACAAAAATTAGTTCAGCTAGCGGCATACTACGGTGTTTTAATAATACCTTACATTTGTAGTTTTAAAGTTTGTACTTTCACATAAATTACTTTATTTAATCTTTAGAATGACCTTGTGAAATAGATATTATCTCTTTTTCATTGTAAAGGAAACTGAAGTTCAGAGTGATTGACTTGCCAAGTCACACAGCTGGAAAATGTCAGAGCTTGCCTTTGAACCCAGCTCTTCTGATTCTAAATTCAGTTGTGTAAGACACACTTCCTGCCCTTATGTGTCACGAAGGCTGCGAACCTTTAAGAACTTTCTGTTCATCCATGGGCTTAGTTAAAGATATCTTACTGCACACTGTTGGCCTTGGGATCTTTCCAGGCTCTGCTTCGCTAACCCTGCAGTTTATCTTCTCTGTTTTCCTTTGTCAACCCTTTACTGTAAATTCTATTTTTGTTTTGGGCCACTCTTTTAGACCTTTTCTCAATTCCTAATTCCTCCTTCATAGATACCACTTAGTCTTCTTTATTCCTTACCAGTTTGCTGGCTGGCTGTTTTTGACTTGTTCCTGTTGTGGACCATCTGTGTCTGTTCCCACGTATAGCTCTGTTGGTTTCTGAGTCGGAGCTCTAGACCCGCTGCTCATCCAGGAGGGATATTCAGGCATTAAGCACCATTAGATCAGCAGATAAGACTAGTTCTAGATAATTTACTATAAGATAGAAAGTGTTAAGTTCTACAGAGAGGTATGGGAAATATGGAGGTTTGGAATCATATCTAGCTAGTGGAATCTGAAGCTTTTGGTGGACATGACATTTGAACAAGACTTTGAAAGATAATTGAGATTCAGAGTTTTTGTTACAAATAGCTATGTACACTGATAAGTATCACCAACTTTGTTAGCAACATATGTAGGACAAAACAGATATAAAAGTTAAAGGCATAACTTTTTATTAAGAAAGATATTTAATTAAAATGATTCATTTACTTTCTTCATGCAAGTGATTTGACAGTAGATATGAAACTCCATAGAGTCCAGTGGTGTTAATAGGCTTTCAACACTTTTTTTTTACCATGATATTCTTAGTGTATTTCTCAAATAGAAAATTTTGAAACTGACACTTGAGGGGTCATTGGGTTAGAACACCTGTCTTAGTCATCTAGTGCTGCTATAACAGAAATACCACAAGTGGATGGCTTCAACAGAGAGAAGTTTATTCTCTCACAGTCCAGTAGGCTACAAGTCCAAATTCAAGGCATCAGCTCCAAGGGAATGCTTTCTCTGTCGGCTCTGGAGGAAGGTCCATGTCATCAATCTTCCCTTGGTCTGGGAGCTTCTCTGTGCAGGAACTTCAGGTCCAAAGGACGCGCTCTGCTCCCAGAACTGCTTTCTTGGTGATGTGAGGTTCCCATGTGTCTCTGCTCACTTCTCTTTTTTCTATCTCAAAAGAGATTGGCTTAAGACACTATCCAGTCTTGTATACCTCATCAGTATAAGTGCCACTAATCCATCTTATTACATCATAGTGATTGAGTTTACAACACATAAGGAAATCACATCAGATTACAGAATGGTACACAATCATACAATACTGGGAATCATGACCCAGCCAAGTTGACAGATATTTTTGGGAGACACAATTCAATCCATGACATGACAACATCTTTCCACTTATTTAGGCCTGAGACTTTCTGTTCATTACTGTGTTTTGACTAAGAAGCTACATTTCATATCTCAGATGGATTCCATGATTTCATAGAGAGATTAAAAATTAAACTTTAGTCAAGAAAGGCTAAAGCAAACTCTTGAACATTTTAATTTGGGGGGCTCAGACTTAATTTTGATATAACCTATGATCTTATCAAGAAATGATATATAATCACTACAGTGAGTAGCATGTTATTTTATTATTCATAATGTATTATTTAATTGTATTATTCATAATAGTTTTAGTCACTCAAAGAATGAATTTTTGGTAAATTCAGAGTTATAGTAAGTTATTTTGACGTCAATTTCATCCTGAGATAAGGCTGCATAAAGATATTGTTGGATAAG